ACCCATCGGGTACCCTCTATCTGCTAATTTGAATGATAAAAAAAATAATTATTTTTATCAAACTAAAAATAATTTATACATCACCGTAAATCAATAATACAAACATTGAGTCTCGTATTTGGACAAAGCAATAGAACATACATGTACAAAATTCAACATTTTATGAAAACTAAATCAACATTATTCTATTTTTAATCACAATTGCCTCCATTTGAGACTTCTAGTTAAATCATGCTTCTCACCACTAGCAATTTCAGCAAATTTCCAGAAGAAGATTCAGACAATCATTCTCATGGTCATTTCCAAACAATTAGTTTTATACAAAACATGACGGAGAACGCTTGGCACTATGAATATGGAGAATAAAAATACAAACTAAAGAGAATAAGAGGGTTATGGATTGTGCAACGACTTAGTATAGAGTTATGGGTTATTAAACTATCAAATTAAGACCTAAAGTATCAGTTAGTAAATCAATATGTAATAGTGGAATGTGATGGATCAGACAATGGCAGTAAAAGTTGTAACGATCCTACGTCAGTTAAGGAGGAAGTTCTGGGGCTGCTTTAATAGCATGTGGTCTCTCTCACCTAGTTGAGGCCTTTTAAAGGGGTGCAGGGCTTCATGACCTACGGGCTTGGGTTCCTCATCTGTTGTGATTTCACCCACCTCCAAAAACAAAATTCACGGCCCAATAGGACGATTAACTGTGGGACAATATTGGCTAGGATCGTTAGAAAAGTATTAAAGAATTGTTGATTTGAACACCTTCTTGTACATTTTGAAATAAATAGCTTATGGGAAAAATAAAGACATATAAATTGAGTAAATTCGAAATTCATCATTTTAACTATTAAAATTCCTTCCACTTATTGGGGTCAAAAAATTCACGAGAAACCCTTACAATATCCGTTAAAACCACGCGAACGACTATTGAGCGATAGGTCCATTTTGATTTATTGGGCTTTGGCAGGAATGATAAGTACCACAATTGTTCACTTGCGTAAACTGGGCTGAAATACATCATTTAGGGCTAGGTCCATTCAAGCGCGACAACCCACACTCTCCCGATTCCCAGTTAGATAAAACGGCAGCATACAACCCTAGCATAGTAGTCTTCCTTCCCTTCCAGGCCGAAAAACATCTATCGTTTCTGCAGGCGCCGCAGTGGGGAAAAGGAACAGAAGCAGTAGCCATGGTACTATATCCCATTTACTGAATAATAGTTTCTGACTCAAAGCACTAGCATTTCTTGTTGCATTTAATTATGTTAGCAATGGATTTGTTTTCCTTTAGCTTTAAGGAGTTTCACCTCTTTTTTTTTTTTGGCTGATTGGGTTCATTAGGGTATCGATCTAAAGGCCGGAGGTAAGAGCAAGAAGACGAAGCGGACCGCTCCCAAATCCGATGATATATACTTGAAGCTGCTGGTGAAGTTGTACCGGTTCCTTGTGAGGAGGACCGGTAGCAAGTTCAATGTGGTGATACTGAAGAGGTTGTTCATGAGCAAGATTAACAAGCCTGCTCTTTCGCTTTCACGGTTGATCACTTACACCAAGGGCAAGGTGCCTATCTTAACTCCCTCCCTCTGCCATCATTATGCCCTTTTTGGAGAATGTTATGGGAATAATAAGATCTTTGCTACTTATTTCGTCCAGGGTTAAGAACTGGTGTAATATTTCCATTCTGTTAGATTTAGGTTGGCGAATTTGAACTGCTTCTATACACAGGAAGCTCCAGGGATGGAAATGTTGAAATAGCAAACGGTTCCTATCTTCTTATTTAAAATTTTTGACTGGTTGATTCATTTCCTTCATTCTCTATCGGTGCTCAACATTTAGTACCCTGCCCCTGAGTCCATTCAGGACAAAGTGCAATCTAAAAGCCAAATATAGTAGTATTATTCTGTGTTAATGTAATTGAGTGTAGAAACATGTGTTTGGTATGGTGGTTCTCAGGAGGACAAGATTGCAGTGGTTGTTGGGACTGTCACCGATGATACTCGTGTGTATGAAGTTCCTTCACTGAAGGTCACCGCACTTAGATTTACTGAGACTGCGAGGGCTAGGATTGAGAAGGCAGGAGGAGAATGCTTGACTTTTGATCAGCTCGCTCTAAGGGCTCCTCTTGGCCAGAACACGGTATGTGTGTGTGTATACCACCATGATGCTCTTCCCTTGCATGTTTTCTTTCATCTGGCTGGCCCTTAGAAATATGTAACAGGTTCTCTCTCTTTTTTCCTGGGAAATTTTAGTTTACCTGTTAGGTGCAAGGGAATAATTTAGTTTACCTGTTAGGTACATGTAAAAGAGTGATAACATTGCTTGTAATCGTACCTTGTATTCGGATTGTTCATGCTTTTTTTATCTCAATGTGATTCGCTGGCAAGTCTTTCTATGACCTGTTTAGGCTCAGTAAACCTCTGTAAGCTTCTTGCTGAGGCCAAATTGGATATGTTAGATGGGTTTGCAACCTCTTGTGTATTAAGTGTCTAAATGGTTTCTGAATTTATGACAGTAGTGAATAGCTGGAGATTTATGTTCCCCTCAAAGCCTGTGTAATTTCATATGTTGCAGATGGGCAGAAGGGAACTAAATGTAGTTGTTAGAAAGACGCAATTGAGTGGTTTTTGACTTATACGAGGCAATCTTTATGAATATTGAACTTTTAAGATGAAAAATTAGTCGTATTTACCTCTTAGAACTAACTGAAAATTCTTCGAATCTCTGTTCTGGCATATCTACCAGCTTCTTTTTGACCAAAAATCCCCAAAAAATTTAGTTAATGGCATGGATTTCTTGGCTGTGGAACTTGTTCATTTAGTTAATGGCATGGATTTTTTGGCTCTACAATGCAGGTACTTCTTAGAGGGCCTAAGAATTCTCGTGAAGCAGTGAAGCACTTCGGACCAGCTCCCGGAGTACCACACAGCAACACCAAGCCATATGTTCGATCCTCGGGAAGGAAATTTGAGCGAGCTAGAGGAAGAAGAAATAGCAGAGGATTCAGAGTTTAAGTTGTTGTCAATTAATTGTTGAAGGCATACTAATATACACTATTGAGATGCGTGCTTGAAACGTTCTGCCCTGCCCGCCTATTTGCTTTCCTTGTTGTTTCTCCTTAAATTATTTTTTTCGTGTTTGAGACCTACTAGACGTAACATTTATCCGTAGCAGTCTCTTGAACTTGCACCTATATTTTTAAAAATGTGGACAGCGTCCATGGCTGAGAGTACATTTCAAGTAAACATTTCATACTTTGAGCAGGCAGTGGTGCCATTTAGGAAATTTTCCATTCGGATTCATATCCTTCTTCTTTGCAACATATCTAAATTGGCAAATTTGGGAGAGGACTTGGCAGATGTTCAAATAATGTCGCTCTTCACTATAATAATTGAGTCAAAACTGGGCCAAAAAAAAAAAAAAGAAACCGAAAATGAGCATGGGGATTTTTTGAGTTATTTTTTTATTTAAATTTTTTCATGTAAAAATTTCCATTTGCTGAAAGACAATTAACGAGACACAATAATAATTTGAGGAATAAAATCTTACTGCTTCCTATAGAAGACTCGGCTGCTGATACCGTTAAAAGCAATATTATAGCGGAAATAAGCGAGTGTTCGGTGATTGTAGCTACTAAGTTTGTACGATGCCTTTTCAATTTCATACGAGTACAAAGGAGAGGTAACAAAATTACTTACACTAGGTTTTTTTATTTTATTTTATTTCAGATACATTTAATAAGAGTATTTCCGTAGTAAGCACCCTCTTATCATAATAGATTGATCTTGCTCTTTCAATGGTCATTATGATAGCGTGCTATATGAAAATTTTGTTCATTCAAGGAAATTAATAAAGTTTTGTTTAGAACAATAATACATTTGTACATGCTTTACTGCAATCATATGTATGAGGGACATAAAAAGTATAAAGCCAAATATACGGGAGGATTATTTGTATGATCTTCCCTTCTTAATAAACTCACAATCTTTTTTCAACTCGTTGTGTGATGAAATATAAGAAAATTTTAAACACCAATATAGGTACTTATCACATGTATTAATTTTTTTTATAGACTGTTAGTGTATATATTGACAGGTCTAAATATATATTACATCATTCTAATTTAAATTCGAACATCAAATTTTGTTAATATGATATGTATTTAAACACGTATACATTATCAGTACATAAAAAACTTACTCTTATAAAATACTATATTTGTTCTTTTAACATAATGCAAAAAAAAAAAAAAGGGAAATAAGGATAACCATTTTAGTAAAAGACCAACATCAATGATATTTTTCTTCCACAACTTCCTAACAATATATAGGCTAAAGCAAGCAGTTTTCTGTCGGAAAATTATGTCGTTTTCCGTGATCACATTTCCCTATTATATTTTTCTCTCACATACATCAAATTGCTACAGTATTTTTTAAGTTTTTCTTCCCCTCTTTTAAGTTTCCGTGATTAAATGATTTCAACAAACGGGACCTTAAGTTTCAAATCTTATATTCTTAATCCTGAACTCCCAAACTAGGTATTACTTTTTTTTTAAACAGTAACGATAACATTTTTATAATCTAATTTATTCTAATCTAAAGAAAAGGAAAACATAAAGAGGTTATGTAAGGGGTTAGTAGGTATAGGAACCTACCGGACCAAATAGTTGCTATGACACTTATTTTAAATTTTTTTAATTGCAGATAGAGTTCGAATCCCCCCTGACTTATAGTCCAAACTAGCCATTACATAGGGCGAAAATTCATGTGTTCAAACAATTTCTTTTTTTTTTTTTTTGTTGGGTGGAAGAGTTCAAAACAATTTCGACCTCTGTATTGGTTCAAATGCTGTAACCTCCTTATTCCAACTTTTGTCATCTTCCCGTGCGACTTTCTGATATCAAATACGACTACGCTTACTATATTGCGTTGTATCATTCGCTCATATTTAGCGAGTACTCACTATAAAAATGATTAACAGACTACCCACATACTGCTACGACTACGAGCATCCGAGTTTTGGTTCTTCAACTTTTCCACAGTACCCAATGCCAACAAAATAAAAAATTAAAATTGAAAAAAGGCCGCCCGATTGGCGAAGTTGAAATCATCCATCTCCATGGACAAAATACAGCACAGACAGGTACCCGTTAACGGAATAAACCTGCACGTAGCGGAAATAGGCGATGGCCCTGCGATATTATTCCTCCATGGCTTCCCAGAGCTCTGGTACTCGTGGCGCCACCAGCTGCTCTCACTTTCTGCCAAAGGTTACCGGGCTCTTGCCCCTGACCTCCGCGGCTATGGGGACTCCGACGCCCCGCCTTCCCCTTCCAACTACACCGCCCTCCACATCGTCGGGGACCTGGTGGGCCTCCTCGACTCCCTGGGCCTCGACCGGGTCTTCCTAGTGGGCCACGATTGGGGGGCCGTCATGGCCTGGTACTTTTGCCTGCTGAGACCTGACAGGATCAAGGCCCTGGTGAATATGAGCGTTGTCTTCACCCCTAGGAACCCCAAGAGGAAGCCCTTAGAGGCTATGCGCGCTCGTTTCGGGGACGATTACTACATCTGCAGATTTCAGGTGCTTGCTTCCGCTAATTTTTTTTTTTTTTTTTGGCCGCTCTTCTTCTGGCGTTAACTTCACTTTTGAAATTTTAAGTCCATTTTTTGTTGTTGATGATTTGCTTAAGAGTGAATGGCCCAAAAGGTCATTAAATTATTAAAATTGGCACCTTCTGGTCACTAAATTTTTTTTGTGGTCGAAAAGGTCACTAAACTCGCAAAAACTCTCCAGCGAAGTCATTTTATCGAATTTCAGCGGTTCCTCATCCGGTAACAGGGTCAATATGTAGGGGAGGAATATAGTAAAGGGGCAAAAATGTCAAACAAAATATGATCAACCTTTTTCCTTCGTTGAATCTTGATAACAAGGAATCTGCTCTAAAATCAATTTACCAATCTCAATCCCGCAACCCGCAACGTCTCACGTCCTCTTTAGCCCCACAATAACACTTGGTTTTAACCAATTTCGGGCACGAGGGGCAGGGCCCTGGGTGACACAACAACAAGCATTCGTGCCCACAATTGTATGTCAACGGCCTACCACAGATTTCTCCACAAGAACTTATGAGGTGGGTTTTCGAGTTTTCCACAAAAACAATAGTAATACTTGGGGGTCTGCGATTTGGGATACTCGATCCGGCATTTGGGGCAATGCCAGCGGAGGGTGTCATCGTTAAGAGTGGCGGCGCGTGAGGCAGCCCGTGCAGCTGCAAGATTTGAGGATTGGTGGGCCCAGGATTGGATACAGAGGAGGTGGAAGACTGCGAAGCAGCGGGAGGAGCAGGACCAGGTGGGATCGGTGGGTTTGATCCGTTCAAGGCATATGAGGCATGAGAGAGCCCCTCAGGAACGATTGGATCTTTATCAGGTCTTGATGTTGAGGGGAGGATTGGTGACCGGTGAGTTCGAGGTAGGATTTAAAGATGGAGGAGAGGTCAGTGAGTTGGTGCTAGCGGGAACTGGTGCCGGAGTCGGAATCTGAGTCGGAGGACGGTGGAGAAAGTGGCGGTAGGAGGGTAGTGTTGGAGGTCGCCATTACGGGCCTTCCTGCGGAAACGAGGGTTTGGGATTGAGACAATCTATGACTTCACCTATTCCAATAATCTTTCGGACATTTTTGCCCCTTTACTATATTCCTCCACTACATATTGACCCTGTTACCGGGTGAGGAACCGCTGAAATTCGATAAAATGACTTCGCTGGAGAGTTTTTGCGAGTTTAGTGACCTTTTCGGCCACAAAAAAAGTTTAATGACCAGAGGTGCCATTTTTAATAGTTTAGTGACCTTCTGGGCCCGTCACTCTTTGCTTAATTTGTGGGCCTTTCTTTTGTTCTTGATGTTTCGGTTGTTTTGCTACTGCTAGTCATCTCTTTCTTTTCGGTTAAGCAAAAGATAACAGGGCTGTAAGTACAGATTTTTTAGCTTGTACGTAAGTGCAATATGTCGTTGCTCTGCCTTCTCATAGTCATGCATCTGCACTGAGCAGCAAACTTCTGGTAAGTTAGGATTATTAACATTGTAGAGACACACAGATTAAGGAGAGGCTTATGTGTGCATCGATTCTATTTTAGGCAAGCTGTTGGATTTCAAGATGGGTATTGATCATGCTTCATTGATCTAACTCAATGAAAATTTCAGGATTTGGTGCTTTATTACCTTTAGGTGTCACCTGAGCAAGCCCATAGGTTACAGGTTTTAGTTAGGTCTGGATGACTATTCATTATCCGTTTGATATCTTCCAGCTGCCAACTTTGGCAGTTGAAAATTTCACCACCTGTCTTCAATTTTGTCCAACCTGCAATGGAGTTTATCTCGATGAAATATCTAATTACCTGCCTTGTCATTTCATTTGTATCCTTGTTTTGTTAGGAGACTGCAGCTTGCAAGAGTTTTGTTTTTCATTTTTTATGTTCAATTATTGTGAAGATGTCAATTTGAGCTTATAGAAGACCTATAGTATACTTTTAAGTACAGTACATATTATGTAGCCCGTTTCATGTTGTAGTCTGTGGAGTTTTGGTGAAACAGCTGCCTCTTAAGTCATATTTCGGACATGAAATGCTTCTTGGTTTAATCATTCAAGTGAGCAAATGCATTGGCCTTCTTTCTACATGATGCTAAATAGAAATTCATTTCCTTTCTTGATGGTTTTTTCCTGTAGGAACCTGGAGAAGCAGAAGAGGAGTTTGCTCGTGTTGACACTGCAAGGATAATAAAGAAGTTCTTAACATCTCGAAGACCAGGCCCTCTGTGTGTACCTAAAGAGGTAGGATTTGGAGGCTCACCTCATAACCCAATCCAATTGCCCTCTTGGTTATCTGAAGATGATGTCAATTACTTCGCCAGCAAGTTCAGCCAGAAGGGCTTCACAGGTGGATTGAACTACTATCGAGCTATGGATCTGTGAGTTTTTACTCATCAACTCTCTTTTCTTGTCACAAAAACCAATCCTTTATCCTTGTTTGCCTCTGAATTCTTCCTTTGCTTTGTTTTTTCTTTCACTTGTCATATAACCATTGACTTGCATTGTTGCAAAATTGAGCCTTGAAAGTTAAATGCCTTCAGTTAAACTTAATAAATAATATGTTGCTGATCAGCTCAAATCAGACTTGTGTTGACGTATGCAGTTGTAATATTGCAGCTTCACCTGGTGTATTTGCTACATTAGAACAAAAAGTTAAGATGTTTAGTTGCAAAGTTTGGCTCGTTGATTTGAATGTGATTGAACATTGATATTGCAAGAAATTAGCTACATTTACTTAGATTAGCTTACTCTTTTTATTCAACAAAGACATTCCGTTACTATCACGGAAGATAACACAGAATTAGGTGCATAATTTTCTTTGACTGCTGCAGAAATTGGGAGCTCACAGCTCCTTGGACAGGATTGCAAATAAAGGTGCCTGTTAAGTTTATTGTGGGAGATCTTGACGTGACTTTCACTACCCCGGGTGTGAAGGAATATATCCAGAAGGGTGGATTTAAAAGAGACGTGCCGTTCTTGCAGGAATTAGTTGTAATGGAAGGAGTGGCTCACTTTGTTAACCAGGAAAAGCCAGAGGAAGTTAGTGCCCACATCTATGACTTTATCCAAAAGTTTTAGTACTTTTTCACCATTCGCAAATGTCATTTTACTGCATCTCCTAGTTGTGATCTTTTAAAGGTGTCGTGTTTGGAATAGGATATCCTATGAATATCCATGGGACGGTAGACTGTTCCTGGTCAGGATATTGCTTATTTCCTTCCAAGAAATAAAGAAGTTCGTAGTTTGTTTTTTTTTGTGTCGAGAATATTGTTACTTCAATAAAAGATGTGTAAATATCTTGAGAAAACTTCTTACTGTATTGACTAGAGAGCTGGTGCAATACCTTTTTTTTTTTTAACTGTATTGACCGCAGAGTTAGTGCAATACATTAAGGAGCCCCTGAGATTTTAAGAACACGTTCATACAAGAGTCGCCCGCTTCCCCACCCTCGGGGTAGTTTATTCATGCAACGCTGTGATTGGACTTTAGGTACGAAGACAGAAATAGAGTAGCATAGAAACTGATATACCTTCTTTTTAAGGGCATATTACTCTGGATGGAACAACCGGTCAAGCAATGTCAATTTAACACATTGCGGATCAAACAGAACTGAAACTATCAACAAAGCGGCTTTGTTTTAGTAATGCCTGTCATATGGTTATTATGCTAAGGTCAAGAAGGTATTTCTGAAAGTTGCCAGATATCTGCAGTCTCTCCAAGGATTCAAAAACTTCTAAAGCGGCATGAATACTTGATGAAAAGCATAGAATTAACAAACAGAAATCCTTCCATTAGGTTCATGAATTCAAACTTTTGGGAACTCCATCCTAAAATGAAGGCTTACGGAGGAACCCTTTATTTGGAGTTAGAAAGCAGGAAATAGGAGCAGATAATTGCTGTAGAAACTAGAACTTGCTGATGAAATCATAAATGTGGATGCTGCACTCGTCTGCCTTTTCCTGGTTGATAAAGTGGGCAGCTCCTGGTATCACAATCACTTCTTGCAAGTCAGGAACATCTTTCTTGAATCCTCCATTGTGTATGTAATCTTGGATGCCCGGTATATGATAAGTTAAGTCGAGATCGCCCACCACAAACTTAACAGGAACTTGAATTTGCGCTTCTCTCCATGGTGCTGAAAGCTCCCAGTTTCTGATACATTGGCCATATATACTAATTAGGTGGAGATGAGAGCATGAGTTTCTTTATAATATAAAACTTGTGAGCTTATACAACCGATAATTCCTTTTTTCATGTGTCTCAACTTTGACAATCGCTCTGTGATTGATTGGGATAGTGCTGGTGTTGTGAAAATTATCTGATTCAACCAGTGGGGAGTTTAACGTGGGCGTGGACTCATTTCTTGTTAAATGTTGATTAAAATGTTGTGGAGTATCAAGTGCCATCAGATTATTGAGAATCGAATTTAAGGAGGACGTGGTATTAGGGGTAGCAGAAGTAGTAGAAAACTCTTACTTACAGATCTATACAGCGATAGAAGTTGAATCCTCCGCTGAAACCTGTCTTCTTGAATTTAGTGGCATAGTAATTCAGGTCTTCCTGTGTCAGCCATTCGGGCAATGGGTTGGGATTTTGATGAGCAAAATACTGAAAACCACCTCTAGGAATACAGGGTGGACGTGTATCACGATTTGAAAAAAATGCCTTCACAAGCTCGGCAGTGTCGACGCCGGCAAACTCCTCTTCCACCTCTCCCGTTGCCTGCTACGAGAAGAAACAGTAGTAGTAGTAATCTTCCCCCAAAATGTTGTTATTTTTGTGTTGTTGAACTGAAAAGTACAGAAATTATACTGAGCAGGGGGCCGGGAATGGGATGAAATATGCAGAGCAAGTTTGTATTTTTTGAAAGGCTTATTTAGGAGCAAGCATCAAAATAATCTACAACTCCTCAATTAAGGTCCCGAAGTTCCATCTGTTTAGGAATTTTTCTCTAGCATCCTCTTAACCAAAGCCCAAAGCTTTTTGGCAACAGTTTTACTAATCCTAAATCCCGTGAGAACCCCAAAAGCCGGTATCTTTTGAGGTCTCACAGGGAACTAATAAACCCATTCCAAACCCCCCCAGAACTCCGATGTGGGACAAAGCCTCCACAAACGGAGGAAGCCTGCTACTAGGCCCAACTGGAAACCCGACCCCCCCCAGAGGCTGCTTTCTCTTAACCAAAATCCAAAGCTTTTTGGCAACAGTTTTACTAAAAACTAAATCCCGTGAGAACCCCAAAAGCCGGTATCTTTTGAGGTCTCACAGGGAACTAATAAACCCATCCCAAACCCCCCCAGAACTCCGATGTGGGACAAAGCCTCCACAAACGGAGGATTTGTCTAGCATCCTCTCCTCAATAATCTACAACTTCCGTCCATGGATGGTTTCACTTTCAACTACTAAGTAGTGGTAAAGAATATGGGATAATTTCAAAAATCTCCCCTCAGGGAGGTTTTTAACTATTGCAGAAAACTCCCTTCTAATTTAAAAAATTACACCTACTTCCCTCATAATTAGTATTTCAGTAACCATATAGACCCATTATGCTATCCTAAAATACTCCTTTGTTATTTAGAAAAGAGAAAAACAAACTAATAAATTTTTTTCACATTGCAATTATTATAAACGACAAAACTACCATCCTAACGAATTCAATAAACCACTTCATCTTAATTTTCATATTTTTACAATTTTAACAATTGCCGCCACAAAACCTCCCTTGCAAATCAACTATGACAATTAAAGTCTACATTCATCTTAATATTTAGCCTCATTTTTTTTTACCTAAATTCAATATTTGAATTAACCAATGTTACTATTCAACCTCATTATTACTAAAATAAAGTAACCTACCAAGAATATTAATATGCAGTAACCAAAAGTAATGCTAGAAACCACATTCCATGTCTTTAGATAAATCTGATTGTAATTTTTATATCTCAAAATTCTTTTTTACATAATAGGCATAATTGACATAATACCGTAATCTTCTTTAATCCACGTTTCCTTCTTAGCTATCATTTTTATTTTATTGTATGCACTATGTATCACCGTCATTTTTTTCACCTTTATTTAATTTGACAACAAATATGATCGTGCAACTTGTCATTTTGTAATTTTAAGTGAATAATATTTATAAAAAAAAGACAAAAAAGAGAAAGTGTGTCTGTTTGCAAAAAAATAGTGAATTATAAAATGTAGGAGAAAAAAGATAAAAGAAAAAGTCTGAGAGATAGAATAAGGGTTTGGTTTGTGTGACAACAATTATTTTAGAATAAAAGATTAGTTGTAATTGTAGAGATTTTCTATTTGTAGGAATTATTTATAAATAAAAGATATTATAGTCATTTTACTATATAAGAACGGAGGTTTGTGTAATTATTTAAATCTGAAGGAACGTGAGTGAAATTATTCCAGAGAATATTTTACCTGAAATCTGCAGACATAGTAGTCATCACCAAAAGTCTCGCGCATCTCCTCTAGGGGCTTTTTGGATGGATTTTTGGGGTCGAAATAGTGGTACACACAACTCATGTTGACCAGGGCCTTGATTCGATCCGGTCGGAACAAGCACAAGTGCCATGCTATGAGAGAACCCCAGTCGTGGCCCACCAAGAACACCTTATCTAGACCCAGACTGTTCAAAAGGGCCACAAGATCTCCGACAACATGGAAGGCCATGTAGCTGCTGGGACCCGGCGGCGCGTCAGAGTCGCCGTAGCCTCGGAGATCGGGGGCAATAGCTCGGTAGCCTTTGGAGGCAAGATACAGCATCTGGTGGCGCCAGGAGTACCAAAGCTCCGGGAAGCCATGTAAGAGTAACACCGCTGGGCCTTCACCAACCTCAGCTACGTGCATATTTATGCCGTTGACAACTACACTTTGGTGCTTTATATTCTCCATCTCACTGCTTAAAGACCTTTTTGACTTGCTAATGTACCAACGGGCTAGGCCGAGACTAAAGAGAAGAGAGTTTTCAATTAGTCACAGAATCACTCTTAGATGTTCTGCACGCCAGGTGTTTGTAAAAATTTCTTGTAAACGTTGTTGTGAAATACAAGATGGGTTGTGTTGGTGTGTTTGTAAAAATTTCTTGTAAACGTTGTTGTGAAATACAAGATGGGTTGTGTTGGTCTAACTTTTGCGTGTGTTCCTCTTATTTTGCCTAAGTATTTTACGTTGTTAAATACTTGCGTGCAAGTGAGTTTATAGGCTAACTGGTAGCGCGGCTTATCAGTGCCGTTACGCATGTGGTTTGTTAAGGAAAGTCAACACCTCGTAACAACTAGCCTAATAGCTCACCATGCCTTCACTTTTGCTTGCATTTATGGGTCTTGTATAAGAGGAAAATCGTAATTTAGGGAGTATTTGATAAAATTGAAATGTGAATTATGCATTCAATATTTATTAAATTATTAAATTGTAAAATATAAAGTCTGATAAGTCATTGAATTGTTAATTACGTATTAAAAAAAGATAGTGCTTAGAAAATTTATTTATTACTTATTTATGGGAGGGAGTTTTGTTTAAAAAATTCGATGTTATTTAATTAATCCAAATATTTAATTTTTTATTATCAAACCCGTTTTTAACATGTTAAAATTTGAATTATTAAATTTAAATATTGAATTGAATTATTCAATAGGATCATAGTTTCAAAGATGGGATGATGTCCCGAATTTCTGGTTTGACCATAAAAGAAAAACACAAAAAAAATTTTTTTTTTTTTTGCCCTTTCGGGTGGGGTTAAAAAACACCCATGGAACGCTCCTAATTTAAGGATGAGCGAGTGCATGTGAGGGAAGGTCCCAAACGTTACGCATTAATTACCCGCATGGTGTCAGGACACAGCAATCGATCTTCCAAATCAGACAAATTAGACAAATTGATTTTGCCCCAATGCGCAACGCTGTCGTTCTTTTTAAAGCTTCAATAACTGAACGATGTCGTTCCACTTAAATGTAGCAGAAACAGCAATAGGTAGAACGACGTCGTGGAGGGTACTCCAATTCATTAGCACGACGTCGTGTAGCGCATAACAGATTTAGTTAGCAAATTTGATTGTCTGTTGCTTCATCCTATTTGTACTATTTTGATTGGCGGAAAAGGTATCAGAGTTTATACCAGAATTTCCCTCTTCCAAATACATTTCTATAACCTCTACTTTTTGGTCCTCAGGAATCTGGTAATTTGTGCAGTACTTATTGCATTTCCTAATCCACTCTCTCGGATTCTCGCCACAGAACATAGGTAAATCAATTTTAGGAGGATTTGGTACAAAGATCTTACTTGTTTCCTTCCTGAGAGTCCTGGTGTTGTCCGAGCCAATCTGTAGCCTCTGATTGAATGGAGGAGTTGGTAGGAGTGGAGCTTGCTCACTCCTTTGCCTGTCATCCTCTGGAGCAGCTCTGTCTTTGCCAATTACTGCTCGCATTAAGGCGCCAAACTCCTGCTTTACTTCAGCTACCAAATTCTCCACCTTCCTACTGCTTTCTTCCAATCCTGTACGGAGTTCCACCTGCAGTTGCTGCTGTTGTACTTGCGAGGCCTGCAGACTTTCCATTACTTCCTGAAGCCTGATCTCTTGCTTCTTGATTTGTTCCTCCAAGGTCTTGAATCTGGAACTTTCGGCCATGGATCACGAGCTCGTTCTAAGGATTCAGCTAGCTCTGATACCACTTGTCAGGCCTCTGGATCCATTGTCATTCCCTGACCTTGAATTGATTTTGAATCTGGTGATAATCGAGAATTGTTGGAGCTGGGAAGGGTGAAAGAGAAGGGAGAGAATTGAGAGAGAGTAGGAATAGAGAGAGAAAATATTTGGAAGAGGGAAATTCTGTTATAAACTCTGATACCTTTTCCGCCAATCAAAGTAGTACAAATAGGATGAAGCAACAGACAATCAAATTTGCTAACTAAATGTGTTATGCGCTACACGACGTCGTGCTAATGAATTGGAGTACCCTCCACGACGTCGTTCTACCTATTGCTGTTTCTGCTACATTTAAGTGGAACGACATCGTTCAGTTATTGAAGCTTTAAAAAGAACGACAGCGTTGCGCATTGGGGCAAAATCAATTTGTCTAATTTGTCTGATTTGGAAGATCGATTGCTGTGTCCTGACACATGGCCAAGTCTGAAAAGGATTAAGAAGTCCGTTGCAGCACTTTGAGTTTGCGGAATTGAAAATGACGTAGAAACGGCATTGTTGTTTCTACAGCAAGTCCGACGTCAAATGACCTTTTCATTTTGCTTTTAGATGTTAGGCCAGTTTTGTACCGTACTTCAAGTTTACACAAATGTCCGAACCCATTACATTACTGTACTTCATAGTAATCGTCGATTAAATCCCCCGAGCCCAGACAAACTCCTTTTTCTATTTTTAAGGTTTTTCCTCCTCCTCTTTTGCTACTGTTTGGATAGGAAACTATTTGAAATAATTTTTTTAAAAAAATATTGTAACATTTTTAAAAAATGTATTGATAATACAGATAAATTAGTGTGTGTGTGTGTGTGTAAATAATGTGCAATTCAAAGCATTGGCCGGTTGCTGCACTTTTGCGAGTGCCCAACACCTTCAATAAGCATCTCAAGCTTCAAGTTCTCATATCGCTTGTTGAGTTTACGCAGCCTTTAACAGAAAGCAATCATCCACAAACGAGGGAAAGTTTCCATAGCAAAAGGTACCTGCTTTATTGGTCTTTAATCTTTTATACGTACCTGCGATGTGATCCGGCCGCTTGATGTGTGTCCACCTCATCAAACACATAATGTTGCTTTTTTTTTTTTTGGTATAAATCATATGTATCTGCATACATTTTATGATCTATGATTAATTCTGTTATAGTCAAATTGAGCCTCTTGCGGGGATAATTTTCCCAACGCTAGTTAGTACCTGTTGCATACTCAATTAAGAGAAAAAATGCATAATATGTATGATAAATAAATTTTTCATCGCTAAAGCAAATTTTAATCTCTTAAATTTCTTTCACATAACAATTGTTACATTGGTAGTTACGGTGCTAAGGATTAATTACGTAGTTGAGAAGCAAATAGTTGAAGCAAAAGGTGTTTTCAAGACAGGCTAACCATAATTATGAGCTTAGGTAGTTAAGATGAAAGTAGTCACCATAGAGTAAATATGAGAATTCATAAAATGACGTATAACGTTTACACCAGGACTCCCTTCCTCTCCCTTATTGCATAGATATTGTCATTTCAAAGCATTTCAAATACTATTAGATAAATTTGGAGCTCTGGATAAACCCATGAAAAATCAAATCAAAGCAAGTGTTTTGATGTGGAAATGGGGAAAAATGGTTTTAAATTTTTAAAATGTAACTATGTTGTGACCATTTTGTCCTTAATAGTAAGGGTAAAATTGATAATTAAAAGATGACATGTTTTTTTAATAAGGGTAAAAATGACATATTTTTTTTACCACCAAACTCTACTCACGTTTTATATTTAGACTAGTGGGTGAGGCAAACATGTGTGTGTATATTTTAGGGAAAAAAATAAATAATGCAAATTGATACAGATTAACAAACTAGTCAAAGCAAGGAAATTAATTAGAGTCGTGAACTTTTCCCCTTGTCCATTGATTGAACTTGGTGGGAAACCGGGGGTAAGTATGGTAGTAACGAATAAGTATATTAGTAGGAGTTAATGGAAGCATGGACCGGGGGGCATGAAATTAGAGTTGCAAACAAGTCATTTCCACTCAAGGGAGCTCGGCTCTAGATCGGTCAATATCGAGTTTGAATTGACTTGACAAATGGGTCAAGTTGAATATACGGATACTTGACTCGTTAGCTCGTCAAACTAGCTTGAATTTATATATTTTTAATAATAAAATTATGTATATGTCCCCTATATTTTTATTATTTAATTAGGATAAATTGTCAATTTTATCCATTTTGAAAAAAAGAAAAATTATTTTTTATTTTATTTAAATTTGAGTAGACTCAAAATTGAATTCGACAAAGCTCAAATTGGAGTTTGAACTCGAGCTTGAGTTTTAAAATGAAAATTCATTGAATTTGAATTCGAATTTGAACCCAGTCAAAATTGAATTAAGCACGACTATTTAGACCAAAATTCAATTCAACTCGGATTGTTTGCGACCATATATGAAATGGTAGTATAGTATTTCATCTTGTAATAGTAAAATTGGGATAAATTTGATGATAGAATTTTTCAACGCTAAATCCATAACAAAGGCTTTATAAATAGAGAGAGATATATGTGCCATTGCGTTTCCGCTCAAGGCATCAAATGGGTCAACTATGCCTCTCTCGCTACTGCCCATCGCATCATCAACATACTCCGTCTCTTCGAATCCTAACGCAAAAAAAAAAAAAAAAAAAAAATCCACTGGCTTGGTAATCATTTATGAAGACGTGAGGTTCGAAACGCTTGGAACCTACGGCTTTCACAATTGTCCCAATCAAGGTGGAAACTCAAGTTGAACCAATGGCCCTTACCACGTAGAAGCAGTGTGGTTTCGGCATAAGTCCGCCAAGTAATGTCCTCTTTCACCAATGTCTCGATTACCGTTCCATGGGGCTTGGCTTGTCACTGTGGGCGGAAATGTTTAATGGACAAAGCCCACCGGAAAATCTCCCCAACTGGGCCGTTGGTACCTTGAGATGGTGAAAATCAATAAATAATTTGTCCCGGCATCCCGGGAAGGAGATCCAGAGAGTGAAACTTGTCTTTGACGGTTGAACAATAGCCGCAGTCGGGAAGTCTTCATGCGAAACGACGAAATGCTGGGGAAGTTTTTTTTTTCATTCATCTTGTTTGGCAATTTAGTTGAAAAAAATGAAACTTAAGATGCATCGGTGTTTCTTTTATTTTTGGGAACTGTGGAGGAAATGAAGGTGAAGAACCTTGAAAGCCAGAAGTTTCTTGAAACTACGCTTAGGTCTTTGACCATTTAACCACCGCTCGTAATCCTCTTCTTCTCTTTCAAATCAAGTGTACAAGAAAAGAAACCTATGACGCAGAATTTCTACTTTTGAAACGTGCCCGATGGCTGTTACCCAAGAATTGTGCCTAATGGAGTAAAAAAGCATTTCATGTCCGACTTTAGTTGTGAATTCATTGGATTCTCCTTCCTTGGTTCATTTCTCCTCAGCGCAAGATGGTTTGGAAAAATTAAATAATAGGTATCAGAGCAGATTCCATGTCAATTGGTATCTAGGCATAGGCACCTGTGTTCTTGCATCATTGGGTTGGATGATTTGATGATCGTATAGGGAAATATCTACCTCTCAATTTCAAAGAACCAGCAGCAGAAAATGAATAATGCGGTTATGCGTATGATCGAGTAATAAGAAACCAATTCTAATTCCTAAACTTGTATAGAATAAGAAATAATTTTTAATCCTAAACTAAATAGAATATTCCTTGGCTAGTAACTAAAATCAATTAGAAAACTAGTTACTTCCACACGTAACAACAAGAAAACTATCTAAAAGAAATTAAACCAATTTCCAAACAGAAATATCTCTACCTCTCAGTTTCAAAGAACTCGCAGAAACGCAGCAGGAAATGAATAAAGCGTTATGCGTATGAGAGTGCCTTTTTGCATGCGGGAAGATTGCTCAGTTCACTTCAGATCAGAAGAGCACATGATGGTATGAAGAGGCCACAAGAACAAACACACTTCTCAGGTCTTCCTCTGGCCCATCTCTTGCTGACTAAAGCTGCCTTTTATCAATTAATATTCGCAGCCATCGATCGATCCACGCCTCCCTTATCAACTTTTAAATACTACTACTATATGTCTAGGTTTTGTAAGTGGGGCGTCGTAGTTCCTTTATTATTCTTGATGTAAGGAGTACCCAAATGCCGGGTGTGGTGTCATTGGCTGATCGTTTTCATTCTTTGATTTTTTTTTTTCCCTTTTAAATTGGGTGGGGGTCTGGGGACAGAATGCCAATAATAATAATATGTTTTTGTATACCGCTGCTTTCTGTAAGTTCTGGCTTTTGCAGGAATGACTCCTTAAAATATTCGGGGAACTCACCAGAATGTTTACCACCAAATTCCTTTGAAGCTAGCTAGTCGTTTCCCTTCCATCTTTCCTCTGCAGAAGAAGTTTGTTGGTCTTTCTATGCTAGATTCTGACGGACCATTATGTCCTGCAGTTAACAGTCACACTAGAGAAGCATATCGGTGGCGGTGCAACTAGAATATTGAAAATCAACTGTCATGCTCTCAGTAAACAAAGACTTCATCTCCAATTAAATGAGCCGATTGAGAAGGCAACTCCAGAATGTAGAGTGGAGCTTGAGATTAGCGTCAAATTTGATAATATGTTCCAATGTGGAAGCATATCGTTCATTTCAAACTCTCGTGTTGTTTGCTTGTACAGGGCCGGGAAAGAACAAAACAAAAGTAGATAAAGGTGTGAATCAAATACAGCATCCATCAGATTGAGCAGGATGATGGGGCTTTAGTTCTCCCGGTCTCAGAGCTTGTATTGACTATAATTTCATATTCTCGATACATTAAAGGGCATACTGCAGATGCATGAGAGCGGACGGGCCTTTTTTGAAACTTTTTGACTAACTCACTGACCTCAAGATTCAAGCCATCCCATGCCATGCTTC